TTCACAACCACCTCTTTCACTTTACACTAGCCATACCTTGCAGCGGAAGGGCAGGTATTCAAGAAATTCCTGTCCTACCCTTCTAACAAGTCACTAGTGTTCACTCGCTGTCAAACAGCTTCTGTGAAAAGCTGTGGTTTTTCTGTACAGCTTCTCTCTGAAACAGTACAAATACACTGCTCAACTTGCAAAATCCAGGATCTGCAGGGCCAAGTATCAGTGCTGAGAAGTAGTCAAGGGTCAAATATTTTCCCCGTGGACTTCAGGAGCATCACAGAATGAAATTACATTAATGCTCACAGCAAGAAAAACGGCTGCATTAAAGTTTCACGAACAATTAGGTCTCTCTCTCTGCAATCATTCATCTAGCAATTTTTTACAGAAGTTCACTTCTCAAAGCTGGGCTGAGAATGATGCCAGGCTGAGACACTTAAATCTCCTGCATAAAAGACAATTTATTTCTTGTCTCACTTACAAAATAATGATAGTATGTTCACTTGGGTCACAAACAGTTGAAAAAGCCGGTAAAACAGTAACATTGTATTTTTAAAGCCTGTACAAGGAAAAATACTGCTTGTCTTTCACATTTAACTCTGGCAAAGATAAAGGATTTCTGATTCAAAATACTAATTTAAGGCTTTAGGCCTTTGGACAAAAAAATTATACTGATAAATTCATATGAATTTATGCCTTGCAATCGCACTTCCATTATTTTCCTTTTTTTCAATGGCAAACAGAGCTGTTTTTTAAATATTACACTCCAGATGGATTGCTGCTATCAATACAACACTATCTGTTCTCGGCATATACACATTTTCACATGCTTAAGAGCACACGAAGAGTGCATGGTATTGCTTTACCTCTCCTTTCGATACTCACCTCTCTCGCACGGCTCCTCTAAACATGGTTAAACTCTTAGAAATGTGAGACACATCGGATGAGCCCAAAAAGAAAACGCACACCTTGTTCACAAACTTGGTGATACCATAGTCTACACCCATACCCTTTTCCTCAGTCTGTCTGAAGAACTCTCATTTCTCATATTCATAGTATTTTAAGCTGACTGTACCTGCAAAAAAAAAAAGAAAAGGCTGCTGAAATTCTAACAACTGAGGTTTCATCTTCCTTTCCTTCCCTCCCGGTATCATACATCTTCCCTGTCACAATTGCTGTTTTGTTATGCTTGGGAGTTTGAAAAAAAAAAAAATCATCTTAAAAGATTGCTTTTTTAGCCTGTCCTACAGTCTATGACTTTCTGACTATCAGCACTTCCACATATAATGAGTTAAAGCAGCATTTCCTGCCGTGATGCATTTTTCACAGTGTGGTGTTTTCAGAGTGTTTTCCAGCTGCCAGAGCTCAGCTTTCAGTTGCTTTTTTGGCACTTAACAAACAGCTCACACCGTCAGTCAGTTTGGGCTGTATTTGTGCGTCTGTCTCTTAGCTTCACTGTGGCACTTTCTGCAGGACCGGAGCAAACACTGTTTCGTTCTTGCAGTCAAACTCTCGTGCTGACTGGGTTCAGCGCCTCTCACCAGTGCATCAGGCCTGCTAAAAGGGAAGGGGCACTCCCTTTCCCCATGGATCTCTCGCTGATTGCAGACTGGGTCACCAAACCAGAGCTTGCACGATGGAGAAGAAATCACACTGTGGCTGACGCAGTCCCCTCTCTCCGATTTCCTGGCAGTCTGGCTGCAAAGGGCTCCAAGCACCAGGGCTCCCCGCATATCCTCAGGGACACAGCCCCAGGGCCCAAAGCCTCCATCCCGGACCCCGATCCCTTCAGAGGCTGGTGTTGACGGTGTCCGCTTTGGCCTGTACGGCGGCCTCAGAGATGGTGTCTGGCTGCCCATCTCGACAGAAGAGGACGGCGGGGTTCTTGCAGGCCCACATGGCCACCTCTCCCCCACTCGCCGGGCTGGAGGAGGACAGGGCACTGCCTGGGGGGCCACTGTGCCGGTTGACATAGCGCTCCCGGACGCGGTCAGCCCGGCTCCGGGGCTCCGGCCGGCAGCCTGGGGCTGACAGGTACGCTGCCACGTTGTTCCTAGTCCTGTAGCCGCCCTCACGGCTGCGCCGCAGCAGCACAGAGATGTTGGGGTTGCGGGCGGCGTAGATGAGGGGGTTGATGGCACCATTGGCCCAGGCCATCCCGCTGGCCACGGCGTCCATGGTGGGCGAGAAGGGCAGGCGGCCAGCGGCGGGCCGCCGGCCCCCGGGGGAC